TTTGTAAGTGGGCAAACCTGCAAAATCAGCAAGGGCTCAAATACTTAAGACTTAGACTGAAGGAGATGAGGATAGTTTGGTTTGGGACAGAAACCCAGAGCTCCACCCACAAAGGGACAGGAAACAGGAAAGGGAAGGTTTTATACATTTTATTTGACAAGGATCTCAAAAAGGACCCATTCATTTCTATACAGGATACATTTGAAATAATAGTGTCTTCATCTCAAACCTTGTAGTAAAATATCTGCTCATTGTGTTGTGCCCCCCCCCTTCTGTGAGCAGATGCTGCCCGTCCATCTAAACCGATTTAAATCAGTCTTTAAACAATTTAAACACATTAAGCTGAAACAGCCGAAGGCTTCTGTTCAACCACAGATTCAGTTATGAGTTACTAAGGCAGAATTTAAGACTTTTACACAAAAACCTTCATCGAAAAAGTGCCGCCCCTCTGAATCCCACAAGTCTGGAATGAATAACAAGCTCAAAAAAGTTTCCAAGTGGTCTCCTCTCCCTGTGAGGGAAGAGTTCATATCTACACTCCCCACCAGGACAGAGGGGATCCTCACTAGTCTGATTCTAGAGAGTGGAAAGGACCCCGGAAAGACTCTAAATAACCCAAATAACCCACTTAGAGTCACGTGACTTTTGGACGTTTCTTCCTACACGTTGACACTTCCTTTCTCCCCTGGTAGCAGCCTTTCTTCATCCGGCTCCTTCTCCCTCCCCCGGTCTGGATCTCCCCCCCTGTCCCCCCCCCCCTGCATCTCCCGGGTGCGGACCCCGGAGTACGCGGAGGCCCCCCCCAGCACCAGCAGGTTGCTGAACCACCAGAGGGCGCTGCGCGGGGCGCGGGCGGCCGCCACGGCCAGCAGCGTCTGGGCGCAGGCTTTGGCCGTGCCGGACACGCTGTGCGTGAGCGGGCTGGTGACCTGGATCTGCAGACCCGTCACGTAGCCCACGGCCAGCCCCAGAGCCCCGCCCGTCGCCATGGCGACCCAGAACCCCGCGGCGGCCGGCCGCTGGCTGGCGAGGAGCCGGGCGGGTTCCCCGGAGAAAAGCAGCAGCGGCAGGAAGAGGACGCACGCGTTCAGGTTGTTGTAGAAGGACAGCAGCCACACGCTGCCCTCCACACAGGGCAGGACCTTCTTGGTGTAGATGGCGTTCAGAGACACGCAAGCGCTCGCCAGCACGCCAAACGCCACGCCCGACCAGGACAGGGAACCCGCCAGGGCCTCCTGGTCCACGCCCAGCCAGAACCCGCCTAAAGAGAACAGAGAACAGAACCTCAGGATCAGGGGAATATTCACAGGGATTACAGCCAGAACCCGCCTAAAGAGAACAGAGAACAGAACCTCAGTATCAGGATTCAGGGGAATATTCAAAGGTAATTACAGCCAGAACCCGCCTAAAGAGAACAGGTAAAAGCTCAGGATTCAGGGGAATATTCACAGGGATTACAGCCAGAACCCGCCTAAAGAGAACAGGCCTCTGAGACTCAGTATCAGGGGAATATTCACAGGGATTACAGCCAGAACCCGCCTAAAGAGAACAGAACCGCAGTATCAGGGGAATATTCAAGAACAGAACCTCAGTATCAGGATTCAGGGGAATATTCACAGGGAATTACAGCCGCCTAAAGAGAACAGAGAACAGAACCTCAGTATCAGGGGAATATTCAAGAACAGAACCTCAGTATCAGGGGAATATTCAAGAACAGAACCTCAGTATCAGGGGAATATTCAAGAACAGAACCTCAGGATTCAGGGGAATATTCAAGAACAGAACCTCAGGATTACGGGGAATATTCAAGAACAGAACCTCAGGATTACGGGGAATATTCAAGAACAGAACCTCAGGATTCAGGGGAATATTCAAGAACAGAACCGCAGGTTTACGGGGAATATTCAAGAACAGAACCTCAGGATTCAGGGGAATATTCAAGAACAGAACCTCAGGATTCAGGGGAATATTCAAGAACAGAACCTCAGTATCAGGGGAATATTCACAGGGAATTACAGCCAGAACCCGCCTAAAGAGAACAAGTAAAAAAGCTTTTACGACTCTATAGTGGAATATTCACAGGTAATTACAGCCGCCTAAAGAGAACAGAACCTCAGTATCAGGGGAATATTCAAGAACAGAACCTCAGTATCAGGGGAATATTCAAGAACAGAACCTCAGTATCAGGATTCAGGGGAATATTCACAGGTAATTACAGCCGCCTGTGAGACGCCTCATCCATGCTGCCTATTCTCTGGGTTTGGTCTCTGAGCATTTGGTCTGAGCATTTTAAAACGTTTACTATTTCTATCATGTTAGATTTTGGATTTGGGAAACAATCACTTCTGTGAATGTGAGATTTTTATTACACGTTTGTTCCAATTTATCAGCTCAGAAATGATAGATTATGTCTGTTTTTCTTTTCGATTTTAAACCCTGATTGAGGAAATCACACAAGGTTGCAACAATTTCCACACTTCTTTTAGCCGGGAACTAGTTTAACTTGTATAAATAGGGTATAATATGTCTCCTTTTGTCCCGGGGGGGTGGGGGGTGACCCGGAGGGGGTGACCTGGTGGGGGGGGTACGTACTAGGGTTGTCACGATACTAAAATGTTCAACTGGATACCGATACTCAGGAAAATACTCAATACCATTTTCGATACCACAAGGATTAAAAAAAGACCCCAAAATTTAAATGAATTTTGACAGGTTAATGTCTTTAATTTCAAACTGACCTGTTACTGATGATATGGTGACTGGTGGCCTGCATTAATGACCCTAACCCTAACACTAACCCTGACCCTAACCCTAACTCTAACCCTAACACTAACCCTGACCCTAACCCTCCACCCTTCATAATTGTGAGAAATAAATATTTTTTGGTTAAACTTGTTTGGACTTATTGTACAAACCTATTTAACATACACTATTTTAACATAATAATATGCATAGAGTTTAATTAAGTGTTTGAAAGATTAATTTCACAATTTTTAAATGAATCTCTATATTGCCATGAGGCAATTAGGATTTTCTTGCCTGGAATCTTCCTATTGTTAATGTAACTATAATGGCCGACTTCGATGTGGGCGGAGTTTGATATGTACTTGATTAATGGTAGCATGTTATTATTAGCCATTAGCCGAAGCTAGCAGTTCAAGGCTAACAACTTGTTAATGACCATAAACAACGTAAATAAATACATAAATAAATCAGAGAGAAGGGGAGCAGCGGTAGTATCCATACTTTTGAAAATGAGTATCGTATCTGGATACAACATTTTAGTATCGATACTTTTTTGAGTATCGATACTTTAGACGACCCTAGTACGTACCCAGGATGACCCCGCAGCACAGCAGGGCGCGGGCGGAGGTGCGCTGGCCCAGGATGAGGAAGGACAAAAGCACGTTGAAGACGGTGCTGAGCGAGCGGCCCACGGTGTAGAAGGCCACGCCCACGTGCTTCAGGCACAGGTTGTTGAAGGTGATCATGCCCACGAACACCACCGAGAGCGGGAGAACCTGCCGGAGTTATGGAGAGGTGAAGCTTCATTAAGAATTATTTATTGAGAGGTCAGACATGTGGACATTTTTAATCTGACTGTCCTGATCTTGTATCTGTGATGTTTTTAGTGTGTAATTTGTTCTGTTGTGTGCAGTCTCTGTGTTTGGTGTAAAAGCCTAACTGGGGACAGGCGTTGAGAATTAGCCTTTAGCTAAAATGTTGTAGTGTGTGACATGTTTCATGAAACATACTTGTCCCTATCAAATAAACGAATAAATAAATAAATAAATAAATAAAATAAAAGCTTTGAAACGTTCTGTCCAATTGGCTCAGTGTACCATGCATCATTACGATTCATTACAAATTCCAAGTCCTTCACTCCAGTGTTTTTCAACCTTTTTTGAGCCAAGGTAAATTTTTTCATAGAAAAAATCTCGAGGCACACCACCAACCAAAAATGTTAAACAAATCTGTAGCCGCCTATAGTAACACTATAGTTATTCTTATTTTATTGTTATCTTATCTTAAGTGTCTTGAATAGGAATCAAATGAACACAAAAATGTATTTTTTTATCATATTTTATATTTCTTCTTTCAAATTGCACTTAACATGTCCACTTCAATATACAAAATTATATACAAAATCTAGTCATAAGGAATAATTACATGATTATTCCACCAGGCACTAGAACAGCACAAACACTCAAAAATTGCCTATTATTTGCAGATAATTAATTCCTTATTAAAAAATCTTTTTAGACCAATGAGGTGAAATAGGAAGATTTTCTACACCTGACCATCACTAACGGCACACTAGTGTATAGGACCAGGGGTTGAAAAACACTGCTTTACTCATCACTGCATTCTTTATGATCTAGTTGGTTGGACATCACTAAAAATTCGTAGGAAACAGCACTGGTAAATCTTTATCTATAAAGAAATACTTGGTAAACTCCCACTCTACCTCTGTAACCTCCTCTCTGTGAGTTCTGGCAGTTATCTGGTTACTTTTTAATGAACCCCGGGCTTATACTGAGTTGGGGAAAACTGCATTCTCCTACTCTGCACCCTGGGGATGGAATAACATCCAGAAAGAGCTCAAATTAAAAACTCTACTGTCCATTAATGAATTTAAAGCAACCGTGAAGAATGTAGTGATGGAGATATGTGCTTGTTTTTCTTGAGATGCTCAATGTGTTTTAACATACTGCTCTGATTTTATTATGAAACATGTAATATGTTGTAAATATGTATGAATTTCCTGTGGTTTGGCTGCTACCTTGGCCAGGTCTCTCTTGAAAAAGAGATTCTGAATCTCAATGGGACTTCCTGGTTAAATAAAAAATTCAATTGAAAAAATTGGTTCACTTGTGTGTTGAAGCTTCATGGTGCTTTATTTGCTCTATGGTGCCATCAAGTGGACAATAAATGTAAACCGTACAGCATGATTCTAATGAGACTGGCTTTGGTGTCTGAAGCATTGAATTAATTAATCAATGATGTTTGTGATGCTGCCGTTACCTTAATGGACGGATGGATGTTTGTGATGCTTATACATAAACTATAAACTTTTATATGGTGTCTGTCTTCAGAATCAGAAATACTTTAATAATCCCAGAGGGAAATTATTTTTGTTACTGGCTCCATAAATAAAACAGCGGCATATATATATATATATACATACATATATATATATACATACATACAAAATTCCTCATATGATATAGATAGATATATAAATTAAAAAATAAATAAATAAATCTTTATGATACAATGACAGGGAAGCTTGAATAGATCGCTAACACACTTTTAATTAAGTTGCAAGTCCTCAAAATGTGAGTGGGGGGGATTCATTGCGTTTTGCTGGCCCTTATATTTCAAATAAATCGCCAAAACGCGAACCACTTCCTGAATCAGTCACGTGGTGCGGCCGGCTTCAAACGTCACCTCATACGTCACCACATACGTCATCGACACAAGCTTCGATACGGATACGGATGAAAACATCTTTACCTGCCGGGCCGTGCGCGGGTCGAAGCGCGCCCCCGCGGCCGCCGCCGCCCCCCCCCCC